AGAGAGAGAGAGAGAGAGAGAGAGAGAGAGAGAGAAAAGCATGATTAGATAAAGATGGCTACGGAAGTGCGGCTACGGAAAGGTTTTATGCCACAGAATGGCATTTCAGTCCCAGCTGCCCCTCTGTTGTGCTTCGGGAAGCCGCACAGACAAGTGGGGAGGGTGGGTGGCTGCCCTCTGTGCGCCTTAGCGGTGCCACAGTCGTGGTTCACATGGCTCCCTCTTCCTTTGATTCCAGGGCCAGCTTTCCATATTGCAAGAGAAGATAGACCATCTGGAGCGTTTGCTGGCGGAAAACAACGAGATCATCTCCAATATCAGAGACTCGGTCATCAACCTGAGCGAGTCTGTGGAAGACGGTCCGAAAGGTTCCCCGGGCAATGGCAGCCAAGGCTCGGCACACCTCCTCTCCTCACAGTCCGCCCTGCAGGTTGACCCCAAGGACTGTCTGTTTGCCTCCCAGAGCGGAAGTCAGCGTCGGGATGTGCAGGTAGTGGAGAGTGGCTGGTAACCAGCCGCCCTTTCGCCTGGCTTCAGATTTGCTCTTGTGTCTGTTCCTATTCTGTACGTTTTTGAGCTCCGGGCTCCAGTTTCTGCTGTTGCCATGATTTCCCTTTTCTCACCATGATTTTTCTTTGTTGGTGACATCATCCACTACTCCCGTGATTCTGTTTTTTTTTTTTTTTTTTTTTTTTCACCGCCATTTTCCCTGCTTTAAAGTCTATCTTCTGGAGTGGTGGTGGGAAAAATCTTTAGAGGTTTTGTTTTTGCCTAAGTGATATTTTTACCTTCTTTTGGAGAAAATAAGTGTGTTCCCTTGTTGCTCTGCACAACACCAGAGTAGATATCTGGAGGTAAGATCCTATGATAGGGCAGGGAATATTCTAGAGGCGTGCTTTCCACTACGGGGCCCTCCACACATGGCTGCAAGCACTCACACTGTGGTCTTTTGACTTGAGATGCACTCTGGAAGTTTGTCATGGAAACACAGAGTGTTTTGGCCTTCGTGTATAAAGTATCTTTATTTTTGTATTAATTATATGTTGGTTTGATAATACCACGGATAACTTAGATAAAGTCTATAATTAAATGCAAGTTAGCAGAAGAGGCCATGTTAAACCTTGTGCCTTGGACCAGGGGTGTGAACGCCACAGGAGGATCCTAAAGGGTGAATGTTTTAAAAGTTGTGTGAAATTAGATGGCCTCTAGCCTGACTTTAGAGGAGGCACTTTCCACCAGTTCTTGGAAGGGTGTAGAACGTGATAAGATCTTGAGGGCTTGGCCCACAGGCCAAGCTGCAAGCTTAAAAGCTGGAGGCCATGCAGCTGGCCAGGCCCTGTACCTGTATGTACCCTCATTAGTTAGCGCATGGGCAGATCCAGATGGGATCAGAGTTCTGTGCTTTCCAGGTTATCAATTTCCTTGGGGCTTGGCTTCATTTTGCTTCTTCCTGAGTACTTCTTAGGACCACCTTTGTCCACTGTGGGAGGGGAATGGCAAGGGCAAGGCCTTTTGTTGCTGTTTGTTGTTGTTTGCTTGTTTGGTCTGAACGTGGGCTGCTTATATTGGAGTTGCAGAGCATCTGCTCCTGTGGAAAGAGTGAGGAGGGAGGATGTTGATTGTCGGGCTGAAGAGAGGACCAACAGTTCCTGTGGATGCTTCCCTCTGCCCAGCTGTGCGCCACAGACTGCCAGGCTTGTTCTTGGAGTCAGTTTTATTCATTCAAGGCATGAGTCCCATAGCAAGAGATAGTTTGAAGAATATTTTAAGATGTGCTGCATTTGTTCATGCTGTGGAACGTTCGCTTTAATGTTGCAAAGATGTGTTGCAGTCTTTTATGTTGCCTTTGTTTAACTCTGTGAAGCAGTGTTACTTTGCATGTCTAAAACACCTCATTGGTCTAATAAAGAATTGAACAGCCAATTGTGAGGCAGGAGAAAGGATAGGCAGTACTGGCAGGCAGAGAAAATAAATAGAAGGAGAAATCTAGGAGGAAGAAGAGGAAAAGAGCAAGAGAATAAGGAGAGGAGGATGCTAGGGGCCAGCCACTCAGCTACGCCGCCAGCCCCAGAGTAAGAGTGAAAGTAAGATTACAGAAGTAAGAAAAGGAAAAAGCCCAGAGGCAAAAGGTAGATGGGATAATGTAAGAAAAGCTTACTAGCAACAAGCCAAGCTAAGACAGGACATTTATAAATAAGAAAAAGTCTCTGTATGTATTTGCTTGGGAGCTGGGTGGCGGGCCCCCAAAAGGCGAAGCGTAAAAGAACAAAACCAACCAACAATAGTTATTCTCTTGAAATACTTCAAGATCACTGTTACTTAATTTTCTGACATTCTTATTTTTTGTAATGTTTTCATATTAATTAAGATATAATTTTTATAGCCTGTTGAATTTTAACAATTTAAATTTTCTTGGTTGTGTTGTACATTTAGTATTACAGAGAATATGAGGAATGAAAGTAAAGGTTTATGTTTTGGGTAGGATACTGTTTTTTCCTTTATGTCCAAATGGATTATTATCTACAAGGAATTATGCGTTGGGAAGCTAGAAGACATTTGTTTGGTTTTTGAAATGAGGTCTCACTGTGTGGCGACCTTCCTGCCTCAGCTTTGTGCTGGAACTATAGGTGTATACCACTATGCCTGGCTATAGAAACACCTTTGGCAACTTAAAAGTTAAATCTAGGTTTAAAAAAAAAATTCATTCCATGTGTATTTTAGAATAAAAAGGTAAATATAGCATTTGACAGATAGGAAAATACACTTGAGTTTTCAGCCAGAAACAGATTTAGAAGCTACCAGACTGATTATGAAGCCAGCACCCCAAATGAAGTAAGAAGCCACATTGAGTACATGTTTGCAAATGTTGAAATATTTGCACATAACCAAATTCCAAGAGAAATCTTTTGTTGTGTTTCTGTTTTCCTGTTAATCACACTGGCACTAAAAGCAAGAGAAGGAGGAATTCCAATAAATGAATGGAATCATATTTACCCAAAGCAGATGGGGAGGGCTCATTTATCAGGGTAGTTATGTAGCACAATTAGCCTTTCAGGCCTTTGGATGATGAGCAAATGTTTTTTGGCCTTGAAAGTTTCCATTGATTTTTACATAATTAGTTTTGTTTGATTGCACATTAATAAAAAACAAAACAAAACAGCAAAGACTATCTTTGAGCAAATATTGACCAGCCTTAAGTATAGATTAACAGTGGTTAAAGTTTAACTTTCTTTCTTTCCTATTTTTAGATGTTGGATGTTTATGAGCTGATTCCTTTTGATAACCCCGATGGTGGAGTTTGGAAGCAAGGATTTGACATTAAGTATGAGGCTGATGAGTGGGACAGTGAACCCCTTCAAGTGTTTGTGGTGCCTCACTCCCATAATGACCCAGGTAAAAGCTGCTCGTCCTAATTGCTCCATCAAGCTTGTCCAGCACCCATGTCCTCTAATGAGGGTCCAGTAGAGCTCACACCTCTGACTTCACAGCAATGTATTCTTATATTCTCATTTTATCAATTTACCAGGTAGTGCTTTGTAGAGCAGGAAACAATGATAAACACAAGAAGGATTTGGGGGACATAACATTTCAGGGTACTGTAGTTTATTTTTCTGCTTCTGGTGAAATATTGCATGGGACAGCTGGCTGGAGGGATAGTGATAAGTTAAGAGCACTTACAATTTTTGTACAGGACCCAAATTCAATTCCAGAACCCACAGGCCGGTTCACAACCATTATAATTCCAGACCCAGGAGATGCCTCAGTCTCTTCTGATGTTAGCTTGTATGAGGTTTGCTTGTGACATGCAGGCAAAGCATTCATACATATAAAGTAAAATAAATCTAAAACATTAAAAAATACTTTATGAGAGAATCTCTATACCTGTAAAATCCGCTTCACAAAGGCAGAGTGTTTGTTGGAAGAGTTGCATTTTTCACACAAAGAAGTGTAAGCAGTGGTTTGGGAGCTTTGGTAGATGGGTCTGAGCCCTAGCCTGGGCCAGAAGAGTAAGATGACTTTAGGCAAGTCACTTCATCCCTCTGTGGATAAGGTTTTTATCCGGTAGAATTAGGATGATGGTATCTTCCCAGGATAAAATGTAAAGGAATATCCTGCGTGACAGAAAAATAGCTGCTATTATTGTAATTACTGTTATTTCACACGAAGGCCTTTATTTGTTGAGGCCAGTGATCCCCCCAGCCCCAAGGTAAGGGGAAATTGCTATAATTTTAGTGGAGCACGTGATTTGATGTGCGTACAAACTGGTGTATGTGCATCCTTACTGGGGTGAATCCGCAGCATAGGGTGAACGCCCAGTGGATTTAGTACAGTATTTCTTGAAGTTGTATTTCTAAACACTTTTCTTTTTCAAGGGCTTCACTAAGTGTGTGTTTCTTACCTTTCTCAAGAACCTAGATCTTTCTAGTTCACCTGTTACTTTCAAGGATTTTTTTCCCTCACACCTCATCTACTTCCATTCTTTACTAGTTTACTGGATGTCCTCTTTCCTATGACACCTTCCTGTGATGTAAGTACAACTTACGGTCTGAACACAGTTTGTCACTTTTCTCTCTTAGGTTTTTCTTCTGAAGTCTTTTCCATCCATTTCCCCTTCCTTCTTTGCTCGGTTCCACCAGCTCCATTTCTTGTTCCTCTGTAACTTAAGCACTCGCCTGTAATATTAAAAAGACGTGGTTTACTAGGCAGGGTGCTGAGTGTTTTGCAAACAGCTAATGCTTAGAAGAGGTTGGTGGTACCACTCACTGCAAAGGTGTTATCATCTTGTCAAGGTGATGTAAGCAGCGAGCATACTGAAATCCCTCATGTCATATTCACCTGGGTTTCTCTCTCGAGTAAACCCAAATGACAAAGAACACTGGTCTCCTCTTCAAGGTTGCTTATTCTTAGCCTAGTACTGGTATGCCATAACATGTAAATGTGTAAGCTCCTCTCCGAGCTGTCTACATACTCCTTTCCCACAGGCACACACCGTACTCATACCCACACTTGCACGTCTACATGCGTGTAGAAATGGACAGAGTTTGTACTGAGCCTACGCACTGAGTTTAAGCTCACCAAGGGGTAGGGCTTTGTCTTACTAACTGCCCTTTGAGGAACTGCTAGTCCAGCAGCTGACACCTAGCACCCATCCTTTGAGTTCTGCTCACAAATCATCGCAATAATAACTGACTCTCTAGGTCAGGGTCAAACACTTGGCTTGTTGCTCAGCTCATGTTCTGTATCAACTCACCATCTTTTCGGGCATCTCCTTATATCTATTCCTCTAAGAAACAGTGACTTGCAAATGTCCTTTGCACTTTTTAGAGTAGCAGCAGTGTTAAGCTCTTTGAGGGCAGGGATTGCTTCGATCCCTGTTTGCTTGCCTTATGGCTTGTGCTGTAATATGCTGTTTTGTGAGAGGACATCCTTAAAAACTGTTTCTGACTGCAGTAAATGAATCTGTCTTTTGGTATCCTAGCAACCATAGTTGAATCTTTTGTCTTAGTAGATGTTAATGACCCTTACCCTTAGGCCCTTCTCCACTTGAGTTAAAAATAGTGGTCAGAAATAGACCCATTAAACCTAACGCAATTTTTACCATGAAGCAAAATGGTATAGGAAAGAACCCACTGACTTTTTGAGTTATTTTCACTATTTCTTAACAAAAGTAGAATATTGATAACCTAAATTATCCTGTAAAAAATGAAAGCATTCAGATCATGAAAAATCACTGTCTTAATAGGGAGAAAACAGAAAAGTATATGCATGTGTATTCTAAGTCAAAATATGACTGTAATGGGAAATCTTTGTAGAATACTCCCAAATGAATGTGCAATTAGGCAATTTACTTTCTAAATGAGATTTATAGAAAGTTGTTTGCAATTTCTGCAGCAACAATTTAAAACAAGCTTTGACTCAGTAGTTTGTTTCATCAGTGAATTTATGTCTGTTGGGAATAGAAATATTTGAAATAGATTTTTAAACGAGTCCTGTATTTGTCCCTTAGCAAAGAATTGATGGTGTTTATATATACATGCATACCTAGATGAACGTGTGTGCAAATTGTTTCCTTTGGGGGTGAGTTAGTATTAGTAGGTAAGACAAGGTACATTTTAAAAAGCAGTGTCTTTTTTTTTTTTTCCTAATTAAGTCTTTTTCCAGGCCACAAGGATATGTTATACAGCATTCACATGGTTTACATGAATTAAAAAAAAAATAGGAAAGGAGTTGTTAGGTAAATGCTGATAGCTCTGTACTGTTACGGATTTGAAAAGTTTTGAATCATAGACCATGAAATTAAATATGAGTTGATTGATACATGTTCATGTTATATTTAATAAGCTGATTAAAACACAATTACAGCACCTCAGTATCTACAATCTTAATTCTTTACTTCCCACCAGTTAAACTGCCAAAATATTTAGTTAATTTTTCTTCAATGAAATCACCATGTGTAAAGAAAAGATAAGGTATACTGAATGGAAGCTTGAGCAGCATATTGTCAGGGAAGCAGTTTGTAAAATGAACGTTAGATAGTAATCCCCTTGTGGTCTGAACTCTAAAACAGTAGGGAGAGCTCGTCACTCGAGTCATACTGGAAAACAATTTCCCTTTGTGCATTAATAGTGCTTTAGAAAAAAAATATTGATTTAATGAGCGATGGGATTTTGCCCATTTTTAAAATGAAGAAAATACATTTTTTTGTATTTAGTATCACACAATAATTAGAAATAGATTTGTTTATACATCTGTGGCTAAGTTCAAAAAGAATAAAAACATCAAGCCACAGTCTGAATTTCAAAGACTTTTGGTTACGTATTACGCTCTTGGAATTTTGAAGTGTTTTGCCAGCTGTTGGTGGTGAATGTCTGTGTCTATCGGAGTGGAGAAGGGAGCCAGTGAGGTGGACAGCGGTGGGATATTTGATGTCGGTGTAGGGAGGAAGTCCAACTCTGCCTAGCTAGTGGGGGGTAAGCTGTGTTCTTTGGTTTTGATAACCACTATGGAAAATTTCAATTCCTTCAGCCCACATAGCATGAGGAACTGAGAGATAGGGTTCTTTGTCCATCCTGCATCAAGGAAGGGGAGAGCAGCAAGCTAAGTCACATTTAATGATATCGTAATTTGTTAGAAGTCAGTCAATGAGAAATTCTCAGAGGATGGTGAATCGAAGCTCATATTGTCTCATTCTAAAATCCATGTTCTTCCCATGGGCCATCCTGTTTCTTAAGATACTTATTTAACTCAAACAGATTCTGTATCTTCTTTCTGTTAAATGAAGATGAGCTAATTTAGCATGTTTGTCTGGATTTCTTGGTTATTAATAAAGTTAGCAAATAAAAGTTCAGGACACTCATTCAAACTTGAATTTCTAGTAAACAATGGATAGTGTTATTTTATTTTTTTTAGTGTGTGTATTCTAGGTTTTAAATCGGTCATATTTATATTAAATGTTTACTTGCTGTTTATTTGAAATTCAAATTTAACTTGGCGTCTTGTATTTTATCTGAATGATAGCATTTGAGAATTAAATAGCACAGAGCTCTGTGGAATTCTGTGTTTAAGAGAGATCCAAAATGTGCTGCGAATTGAGATTCGTTTTTTGAGGAAGAAAGCTCTGGTGATCAGGGCCATCTGTGGACTTCATTCTTGAGGAGTGCACATGTTAGTTGCTCTTGAGAGATGTGGGTGATCATTGTACATCTCCTGACTCAGCCTCCATCTGTTTTCCTAGGCTGAATGTGTGAGAGCCCACCAATATAGTAATATAAGTTAGCATTGACACTTAGGTCCATGTTCCAGGCGTCTCCCACCATCCTGGACATTTTACGTATATTAAAACCATTACTCCACTCAGCAGCACTACGATAATTCTATAGCATCACCCTCATTTCACCGAAAACAAGGCAGGAAAGAGGACAAGAGATCTGCCTGTGGCAGAGTGGACTTGGCACTTGTAACACTGGCTTCTGAACCATGACTTGAGATTTGTTCTTTAATATAAAACTACCATCCATGGGGTAACATTACTGATGTCACAGGCAGAGCATCTATGAGGAAATTAAGTACTTTCATGGCTAACATCATCTATGCTAGTAACAGTAAACACAAAAATGATTTTATTAACTATCTTGCAAAAGTGGACACATCACGGTGTTATTTCCTATTCTTTTTTCCTTTTGATTTATTCCCATTGAAATGGATGTCTGTCTTTAAATACATGGCCTTCCTTATTGCTGTGTTTTCCTTTATGATTAGAAGTGAGTTAGAAGCTGCATTTTCCAGCTTTTAAAGTGACTTTCAGAAACTGTGATACCTTGCACAGCTTGTGTGACCATAAGTCTGAATAATCTGCTTATGGAGCATAAGAGTAACTCATCAATGTCTTTAAT